TGATATTTAAAACTTCCAGTCTTGCGTCCCCCTGTCGGCGTCTCCGCCGAAACGTCGATGATACTAGTACGGCTTGTTCTCAGATTGTGACCTTGAACGCGACGAGAATTTCGCGAGGCCCGTGATCTGTTGCGCGATAAATGAGCTTCCAATCTATCTACCTGATATATAAGCGCGGATCTACCGAATTAGCTTTCGTCGGCGCAACCGTTGCGACAGCATTAACGCCGGTAGATAGCACGTCCGTTATTCAGTCTGCTAGTTGCGATAGCTCTTCGAGTTCGTGCTTGCTAGACGCTAGTATAGCCTGCACTTGTTGTGGTAAGCGTTTTAGCCATAAAGATTTGAGCACCTCTTCTGACGCGCCATTTTGCGCGAGATCTCGCATCCGACGGAACAATTGCGTCGGGCGACGGTCATCTAGGTCAACCTCGTTTAATAATCTACACAGTTTCTTTTCGGCGCTGTCCGCGAAGCTTCTCACTAACCTATCTTTGAGCACGACGTACCTATCCATCGCGAGCGGATTGAGTATGATATCGCTAACTTCGGACAAAGAGTCGTCAAGACATTGTATCACATAATTATACCTCGTGTCATCTACAGTTATGCCTGCGGTGAGGAATTGAGCTTCCATTTGTACGAACCAGAGGTCTGGTTTCGTTTTCCAAAACGGCATGGATTTAATTCCGACTCGCGTAAGCGCAGGTATTTCAATTATACGACGATACACCGCTGTCCTGATTACGCGCAGGGGAATCGCTTGAGCCACTCGGCATGTCGACGGTTTATTTAGACGCGCGCGTAAGGTTAAACGCGAGAAGTCAAACGCGCGCAAAAACGTCACTCAATCACGTCGGGGTCACCAGTTTGTGGCTGTTGGAGCGCTGTGCAATATGGCGCCGATGGTTACCAACCAAAGGCGAAGGACAATTGGCGGGAAATTGTTAAGTTGAGAATGAGTGCTACTCATTGCTTCTGATTTTTATGCCATAAGGCGATTTAATACAAACTTGATATTAAACTAACTAAATACTAAATACAAATATAGATTAAAAAATAGAGACGTGATTGCGCGTGTAAGACGGCTCGGATACCGGCATTATGTCGCGAAGTACAATACAAGAACTATGAAAATACACTCTAAGAAATTATCTGACGACGCTAATAATTATCACAGACATAAACGGTGATCGGTATCGGTCTCGCGGGATACACAAAGTAATTCGGAACCTTAACTTCTGAGTTCTAACTTACTGACTATTGCAGAGACTTACACGAGGTCCGTACGCGGCACGCCATGACACCAGAGAGAACGAACGGAAAAAGAAGCGGAAAGAACGATCACATCAGCACCGCGACGGACGCATGTAGTGCCGCCACTGGCGCTCGCAGCGCCGCAACTAACGTTCGCAGCGCCGCGACCAACGCTCGCAACGCCACACCAATTAAACCGCACTTGACATCTCTTCCACCACGAGCGAACTAGCAATACGATTATGGAAGGGGTTTTAGGAACGCCCAGGCAAAAGCTAGGAGAGAGAGCAGAGAAGTAGCACGCGTCATACAGGGTGAATGCATGGAAATTGAGTCTCCTTCCACTCTAATTTACTAAAAATAAACTTATGAAAAGAAGAGCATAAAAACCACCGCACAAGATATTGTTTGTGATATTTAATTATCATTACATTAATAAAACATTAGACCTTTCGACCACAATCTGGCTATCTTCAGTAAATTCACAATATTCTTAAACCACAGAATTACATATAGCTGACATTAAATTCAACCGTCGAGTAATATAACTATGCATAAACGTGTTCTTTCATCATGTGGAGGTGCCTCGTACAACAATGTTGCAACGCCAATTGTGATATTACGAAATATGTAGAACAATAATTTCCAGATTCTAATTTAACAAATTAACTTATCATTAATATCATTTAGTCGAAATGTATGAGAATAGAATCGTTACCTGTTTTACAGCAAAAAAAAAAGATGAATCTCAAGTATCCTTTACAAAGATGGAAATTTATTGTGACATTGTGTGTTATTATTTTCGTATCACATATGTTACCACTATTTATATATTATATATGTGTCAAAAATTTAGATTGTTCTAGAATTATTTATTAAGAGTGAGAGAGATCTTTCTTAAGAAGAGGCAAATAAACATCGGGCAAACCTTCAGTCACTTTGCTTATACCACTTATTTGGTCTTTAATGTAAATTGTTACGTCCAAACCCTTGATAATTTGGTCAAGGAGATAATGAGAGAGAATGGAGAGGGTATGGAAAGACGGTCAGACTCAATCTCACAGGTATACGCACGGAGGCGAACACCTGTGAGTCGTACGCACCTTTTAAGTCCCGGAATGTGGGACTCAATGTCTGAAGGGACGCTATGACACCTGTTCCACTGGACAGTGCGAACGTCGGTCCTATCTTTTCGGTCAAGGAACTTAATCCCTTTGACCCGGGACTGGACCTCGTGCGATCTCAAGTATTCGAGGGAAGTGAATACGAGGGGTGATTTTTAATAAAAACAGAAGAATACCTTATAAGTTACATTTATTAAAATAATAACCGAAGAGTTTTGTACATTATAACGTTTTTACAAAGAAAAATACATACTATACATACATTGTGAATGCGTATGTATGTGTGTGTGTGTGTGTGTGTGTGTGTGTGTGTATGAGAAAGGGTTAGAGGATACGGGCGGCGAGGAGCATATTACAGGAGTCGGGATGAGGTGTTTAAAAAACACGGTGTAAGGTGCGGGATTTCCGGGGATATACACGGTTACTCTGTCCCCTTCGGGGAAGGGGGGGTGGACCATCCGATCCCTGTTGATCGGCTCGGAACTTAGCCGAAATGGGAGGGGCGAGAGTTGATCTGAAAGAGGGAGAGGGAGTGGGAATCGTTATTCGTAAGGAGGAGGGGGAGGAAATCGTTCCTCGAGAGGAGGAGGAGGAGGGAATCGTTGCTCGAGAAGAGGAGGAGGGAATCGTTGCTCGAGAGGAGGAGGAGGAGGGAATCGTTCCTCGAGAGGAGGAGGGGAATAACCAAGGATTTCTTGGATATCAATTACAGGAGAAGAGGTGAGGTCCAACGGTTGCGTTGGTGAGTAAGAGATTTCTGTCGATTGTTCGACAGTCGATTGTGCCGGCGCGATTGTGGGTGGCCTTGGGTTCCGCCTACTCCTTCGGTTATAGGGGAGTCGTCCGCGTTTCTTGATGGTTCGCACTATGAACAGACGAATTAAAGTTGGAATACGGGTGTATGTATATTAATGCTCAATAATTGAGTCTTTCCATGCGGGGAATCGCGGAGTGGACTGTAAATAATTACAACTTACTATTTAGCTGCCCCAAGATATCGAGTAGAGAGTCTATGTGAGAGCCCAACGAAGAGCGTCTGATGGACAGTTGCCGTGGCGTATGGTTAACTTCAGTTGCGATAAGTTTACACTCGGACGGAATCTCAACTGGCGATTCCTGGTTGACGCGGGTTATACTGATTACGAAGTGAACCGGATGCTTTAAAATTTGGTACTGACTCTGTGCTTCCGCGGGACCTCTATTTATACCCCGAAAAAAGGGTGTTGAGCCTTTTGTTTAGAATGCTACAGTTAGTTGTAATGTCATGCGAGATTTACGATTTTTATTAACGATTTATATTAATTTTTTTCTCTTCGCCGCGACTATGGTTGGCGTCTACGAGACCTGAGCGGGGCCTTCTGATAACGGACTGATAAAATTGAAAAAGAACCGGAGCCGCGAAAACTCGTAAACGTCAATCAACCTAGAAAGAATAATAACCTTAATGTAGGCTCGAAAAGAGACAAGATTGCTAAGACATTATAAATTTTGTTTGGCCAACATAAGAAGACTCACAATTTGAACAATTTTGTAAACCTCCACGATGGTCCTCTTTACGCAAGGGATCTTTTCCAGTTTTTATAAATCTATTCATTTTATTTATAGGTTTATAAGCGGTATTAAAACCATGAATATGTGATAGTCTTTGAAACCTTTCCGATACTTTATTTAAGTATGGTATTATGAAAAACTTTTTCTTTACATTAGAATTAGAATCGCTTTCATTATTGTTGTACTCGCCATTTTTATCTAAATTATTTTATATCTACTTTCTAAATTTGTAATTCTATTTTTTATTGTTAAAAAGATAAATTTAAGAGGATAACCATTCATTAACAGAGTGTGAATTAAATCAGAGATGTTTTTTTCTTAAAATTTTGGATGGGATAAAAGCAATATTCTATCTAATTGCCCGATGATTACATCCAAAATGTCAGGATTCTCTGAGATGAATCGCTTTACTTCCCTTACACCTTCTCGTATGATATTATTCTCAGACGATTTAATGTCACAATTATTTATTGATTTGAGTATTTGAACTGTTTCGTTTCTAACCGTTTTACATTTCGTCGTCAGTTCTGAAAAGGTTATACTCAACATGTTTAATGAACTCGAGCATACTCCTTTCTTTGCCGACATTATTAGGTAAATTGAATTGCTGACCTAATTGCAATACGACTTTGGAGAATCCTGACATTTTAATTACCAGAGCTGATAAAGGTAATACAACAGTAATTATAAATCGTGAAAGTTACATAGGGAAAATGTATGAGATTCTCAATGATCAGAGCACATACATTTTAATAAATAAAGACCCCATTAACAAAATAACAACGGAAATCAACAACTTATTAAAAAATTGGAAAAACAAGGGGTACATTGACTTAAACACATACAAAAAATTGTATGTATCGAACTTCCGAGTACTTAAGGACTGTCAAAAATTCATAAGGAAGGTCATCCGCTAAGATTAATGGTTAACTGCATAACAGAGCTTTTTATCCATTGGCGATCTTCCTAAAAGATATTATTGACAATAATAATAATAAGAATTTCAGTTATGTAAAAAACAGTTTTGATATTTTAAATAAACTCAATGGAAAAGTAATCGATAAAAACTTTAGTATTATATCATTTGACGTGGTCTCGATGTACACGAACCGACCGATTTAGTATTAAAGAGCATTGAACGTAGGTGGAACTTAATTGAAAACAAGACTTCGATTCCTTCACATGAGTTTATTAAAGCAATTATGATTATAATTAACTCTCATTTTTTAAATTCGACAAAAAAATATTTAGACAGATCTTTGGCATGCCAGTGGGCTCTCCATTGTCTCCTATATTAGCGAATATTGTTCTACAGGACTTAGAACAAGAAATTATTACGACCAATAATATTATTTCGTCTTTTTATTTCCGTTATGTTGATATTGTATTGTCCGTGCATAAAAACAAAGTAGAGAATGTTCTGGAATTGTTTAATTCATATCATATGAAGGCTAAGGTTTACAGTTGACTTTGGCGACGAAAACGGCATTAATTTTTTAGATGTTAAAGTAATGAGACAAGAAGGAAGAATCATCTTCGACATTTATAAAAAAACCTACTAATTCAGGGAGATATTTGAATTATTATTCGAATCATCCGTTAGTACATAAAAGGGATGTAATCATCGGGCAATTAGATAGAATATTGTTTTTATCCCATCTAAAATTTCAAGAAAAAAATATTTCTGACTTAGTTCACACTGTTAATGAACGGTTATCCTCTTGAATTCAATTTTTGCTTCAATGCACGGCTCAAGCGCATCAGTTGCCGTCGGTAGAGATCTCCAGTAACGGTTTCATGCGGTTTTAGCAGTTCGTAGTATATGACACCCTTCTGATCCCACCAAATACAGAGCAGGAGCTTTGAGCCATGGATATTGGGCTTTGCCACTGATGTTGATGGTTCGCCGGGCTTAACCCATGACTTTCTGCGCTTTGGATTGTCATAATGGATCCACTTTTCGTCACCGGTAACAATCCGATGCAAAAAACCTTTTCTTTTCTGCCGTTGAAGCAGCAGTTCGCACGTGAGAAAACGTCTCTCAATATCCCTTGGTTTCAATTCATATGGGACCCAATGTCCTTCCTTCTGGATCATGCCCAAACTTTTAAGACGTTTTCCTATTGTTGAGAAGTCAACTTCCAATGACGTAGATAATTCTTTAAGTGTTTGACATGAGTTTTCATTGAGCAGTGCCTGCAAATCGTTATCTTCAAATTTTTTCGGCTGACCAGGTCGCTCCTTGTCATCCAAGTCGAAATCACCAGCTTTAAAACGTGCAAACCACTTCCTACACGTTTGCTCAGCCAGAGCATGTTCACTATACACATCCACTAAAATACGATGAGCTTCAGCTGCACTTTTGTTCATATTAAAGTAATGAAGCAAAACTCCCCGCAAAAACACTTTATCTGGCACAAATTTTGACATATTCAATGAATTATACAGTATTGTTATTTATGATTTCAAGAAAGGTTATGTACGGCAAATGACGTCCTATGATAGATGTTTACAATGTATACAGAACTATAGGTAACAACGAAATAGTGTACTGCTTGTGCCATCTCTTGTAAAACGCTACGAATTAATTCCAACACCTAATATTATTGAAAAGAAGAATTTCTGAAATGATATACATAAAAAGCCAAATAAGTAGTATCAATAAACAAAATGACACGGAAGGTTTACCCGATGTTTATCTGCCTTTAAAGAAAGATCTCTCTCACACTTAATAAATAATTCTAGAACAATCTAAACTTTTGACATGTATACAAATAGTGATAGCATATATGACAAATAATAATACACAATGTCACGACGAATTTTTATCTGTGTAAAGGAAGTGCTTAAGATTCATCATTTTTTTTCTGTAAAAGGGTCAGGTAATGATTCAATTCTCATACAATCAACTAGAAGATATTAATGATAGGTTAAATTTAATAATAAAATTTAATGATCATATCAGATACGTACATTGTTTCGAAAAATTTAACCATCTTCAATTACCTTTATAACAGATCGAAACGAATCTAAGTATCAATATATTATCACAGACAAGTTGCTACCATAATATCTAATCAGAATCAAGCACAGGATAACATGATCATTAAATTTTTGATAGTGCTCGGATAATTTATCAGTATGTACATATTACATACTAAAAAAATATCTAATATAATAAAGTTTTTAATATTACATGTAATTAAGTAATAATAGTTCAAAAATGTTTGTCACAATACAACATTCTATTCCTCTTTATATGTATATTTCTCCAGAAAGTCAACGTAATACAACAAGTACAATAGATATTTATGAAGTGAAAAAATTACAACAATATGATTTATAATTGAACATTTTAATATGTTCTAATTACTTTGATAATTTTATTGACATATACTGCTACTTGTCTCAATTTTTTATTATTATTAAAAGTATTTTTCAACTTTATGAATGTGCGAGAGCAAACCAGAGCGAGAGCGCTGATCGTCAAATTTTTAAAGTGATGCGGCGCGTTTGTCTTACTGTCTTTCTCGCTAGTTCAAATCCGGCTCGAAGGACCAGAAAATGTGCGAGAGCGCACCGCGCGGAAAGATTCGAGTGAGAGAACGGCACAAGGTTGATATGATGCACGACAGTGAAGAGAACTCCGTTTCTTTTAATTTAACAAAAGAATTTTCTTTAATATAATCAGTTACAGAGTCAAAAAATATAATTAATTAAATATTAGATTAACAAAATATCAAATGCGGTCACCTTTTCCAAAATTGTATTTGGAATCGCGGTGATGGAAAATCTCGGCGATTTTCTCGGAAAGATTCGTTTTATCGCGATTTCACTAAGCGGTTAGCACGGCGATTTTACGAGGCGGTATAGTAGCGAGACTATGATTTTAAGAACTCGAAGAACTTTTAGAAGTAAGAACTCTAAGAAGTCTAAGAACTCTAAGCGGTGTAAACGGTATAAGCGGTGTAAACTATTTAAGCAATCTGCGCAATCTGCTCTGAGGACCGGCGAGATCGAAGCATTTATTGCTTCCGGTCCGGGCTTTCTTTTTGGGAGAAATCCAATTAAATTTAGCCACAATCGTAATTATCACGTGGCATTGGTTGTACAAAATTGATTGGCGCTCTTGATTCTTTTCTAGCGACGTTCAACGTAACAGTCATGCGCGACAGAAAATCCGTACGCGGGATTGGTGACAGCGCGTGACGTATTCGTCGGAGCGCGGCGCTCGCGTGCGCGAATTGAATTGTTCTAGAACTTTCGATGGTCCGTTGTCGGTGCCTGTTTGCGTGAACCGAATTGTTTTGAAAAGACTAAAGAACAATGAATCCCTGACTTTGACGAGGCTTAAAGTCAGGCTCGAGATGAAATCACGAGCTCGCCTTGTGCGTGCGTTCAATAACAATTACTGTCGGTCGACCGAAGGAATTCTTACCTTTTTTTTGAATTACCGATCTCAAACAATGAAGCATTACACAAAACGCGTGTATAAAATTACAAAATGATAAAAATTGATTAATTTTTTTGAAAGATATAATAGATCTATATTAAATCAATTAAGTTATAATCATATTATTGTAAAATAAATAGAAATAGAAACAAGAAAACTGTTGATATAATTACTAAAATTACTTAAATGTTTGCATAATAAACAATCTAATGGAAGATGCGTGTTTTAGATACTTGAAGATGGGAAATAGAAACAGCACGGAAACAACTTTTAAACATTGAAAAGACTGAAGCATTGTTTACGTGTATTGTAAATAAAAGTCATGCTATGTTAAAATGTAAGTTATTCGTGTAAGTTCTAAGAGTAGCAAAAAGCTACTTGAATTCGTATTAAAGTCGAAAAAAATTGATTAAATTCAACTTGCACATAGTTTTTTTTTAAATATTTTTAGCGATCGCGAAAAGAACATTGGGAGAATTAAATGCAACAAGTGTAAACGCAACGCTTTTACCAGCATGACTTATTTTACGATACCGGTGGAAGTTTTTATGAAATGCGAAGAAAAGATATGAACTGCTGCTAATTAGTAGAGAGAATGCAAGAGGCAGAATATTGGTCAGGAAAGTTTTATCCATTTTATATCTGTGTTCGATATAATGATAGTTCAACATTTTTTATTGTATATGTATTTTTATATATAAATTGTTTACGATACTTATTCTTATTTAGTGATACTTTAAAATCGTAACTCGAATATAATTGTATTTCATAAAACACTATAAGCATCACTCTAAGTAATGAAAATTGGAATCAGGATATTGACATGTAACAATGGTCGTCACGATATGATCTTTTTTAAATAAAAAGTAGAATAAAGCGGAGTAATTTAAATTTTCTAATTGTATAAATGAAGTCATATAGTGTTTTAATTATACAAAACATATACTTTTATTGCATCAATAATATATGTTTGATATTGAATACACTATGAGATCTCAATTTCTTTTACAATTAAAAAATTTCTGTCAACTCATCAAAATTATCCCGCTTTATTAATATTTTTTATTAACCCATTAACTGTCATTATATGCGTCTTATACATACAAAAATAACTGTTATGCCATTTTCCCAAATAAACGAAGCACAGAATACACACAATATTGACTGATATATATATAATACCCAAATAGGGA